GCAACTTGTAAATTTGTCTTTAAAATACTTTCAGTCGTGTACGTACGTATGTATGTATATATATATATATATATATAATGGTCGATGCAATACTTTGGGCATATAATTAGATTTCAGGGTAGGTTGGTACAGATTGTGATGAGAAAGAAAGTCGAATCGGGTATACGTGCGCCCCACGTTTGGTATTGCTGGCGCACAAAAATCATAATTATTGGTTGAAATTCCCCATTACGTTTATTTGGTTGTCGAGGGGACACAGTAACGCAATATCATCACATTTCGTCCAATCGGAACTCTTGGCTGCAACTCTATGATAACCCGCAACATATTTCAATTTTGTAAATGCCCAAATTAAAGCGCGCTTCTCCGGCACAGTAGGCTAACAAAGCCAAAATCAGGAAGACAGTCCAAAGAGAAGGCCCCGAAATTCATAATAAAATTCACTACCTTTACCATCACATTTAATAATCTTCAGGGTCATGCAGTTGACCAAGTAGGAATATGTCTTTGAGAATCAGTTTTTTCGCATGTTTCAATCCATAAGGTTTTATCAAGAAGAAAATTTGAACATAACTTAAAAATATATATACAGAAGTCAAATTGTTAATCAAGCAATGCTTTTAAAGGAGATGACCAAATATGAATAAAAAAAGTTGTTTTCGTTAAATACTAGAAATAGGATAGCCATTCTCCATACATATAGTTGCTAGATTATTATTAATGATTAGAAAACATGTTAATAAAATATTTATTTAGATATAATTTTGAGAAGAAAGAATAATCATTATTTCCTGTCATATGAGAGGCATTCAGCTTGTGAGATATATATTCAAACAAGCAAAAAAAGTTCAGAATGTCTAATAATTTACCATATTTCAGTGACTAAAACTGATCTTTACTTACATAGCAAGTAGAATCATTTACCAAACACTACTCTGCTAAAGTGTAAATAATTCTGTAAGAGCAAGCACAGATTTTAACACTATTTCAGCTTCCATTAAAGTTTAATTTATGCACAAGGCCAATCAGATAATAAAATATCTAATATGTGCAACAGTTATCGAAAAGACATTACAAAATCTTGATCCTTCTATAAAAATTTATGCTCTTTGTGTAACTTAATTTTGATATCACTGATGGAAGTATATACCTCGTGGACAGGACCAAACTCGGCCAAAAGTGGTGTATATAAGCAACATACACCATGCATGGAGTTTGTTACCTGGCCCAAAATTGTGTTTTAAATGTACTATATATTTTGCATGGACTTTCTAGCTTGGCCTAAAATTGTGTTTTAAATGTAATATTATCTCGCATGAAGTTTCTGACCAGGCCAAAAATTGTTTTAAAGGCAATATATATACCTTGCATGGAGTTTCTTACCTGGCCAGAAATTGTGTATTAAATATAACATACATCTCATTTTTTATGTTATTGGCAATTAAAGAGAAAGCAACATAAAACCACTGAGGTCAAACCTCAACCAAATGATAAGTAACACTAGTGTAACAAAAGCTTTTACTTAAAATTTTAGCCAAAACTAAATATAATCATTCACTTCTCTAAACTTACTCAACAGAATTTTAAACTAATACATAATTAGAAAAATCATTCCTAAAGTTTATAACTCTGAACTGAAAATTAATTTTGTTCAAGAACAAATCTGTAGCTAGACTTCTAAAACATATCTAATACTCCTAATATTCCACTGTGTACTTCCAAACTTTTGATTCCATCACTGAAACAAGCAACTCAAAGAACAATTTTAAACATCTTAATCAAGTCCGCTACAAATCCAAAATCACCTCATAGCTTAAATGGCTTAAACCAGGAATCATTCTAGTAGCCATCTTTTGCAGTCTTTCCAACATGTTTACACCATTTTTTTATATATGGAGACCAAAACTGCAAACAATGCCCCATGTCCAAGAAAATAATAACTTTGTTGTTCTTAAATCAAAAATTCTTATGAATAAAACCAAGAGCCCTATTACCTCTTTTTACCACAGGTAAAAAGAGGTAACACAAAGGGTTTTATCAATACCACCACCTGAACTCTTCTAGTTCACCAATGCTCAATTCACACAAGTAAGTCCTTTCTTCACCTTCATACCCAAAATGCAAAACTTTACAATTTTCAATATTAAAATTTATCTTCTGACACATTCATCAATAGTGTCAAGTCCCTTTTGAACAAGAGAAGCATTACAACAGAATATATCCCACAAGCATCTAAAAGATTAGCAATATACATAAATAATAAACAATATAGTTTCTAAAACAGATCCCTAAGGGACTCCACTACACATATAGTGCCCATTTCTCATAAACCTTTGCTTTTCATTCTTAAGCCAATTTTCAATATATTTCTCGACTTTTCCACCAATCCCATAATTACCAATAAAGTTGTAAAGTAAGAAACCCTTTTTTTAATCATGCTGAGAATCACTAATTAAATGTTTTCAGAAAACAATAAGCTTATAGTTTCCCAGATCCTTCCTAGACCATTATTTTCAAAAGCAAATACCACATTGACAATCTTACAATCACCAGAAATTTCATCAAAGCTCTAGGATAAATCTCATCATGGTCAGGGTGCTCTTTTCTCAAAAATCTTCTCACTTTCATTTGTAACTACAAATAAAAAAGTTATTCATGTTTCCATTTTCTGAGATGAGATATCCACTTCAGAAGCACTTAAAATTTTTTTGTTTTTAATTTAACATAAAGACCTTTCAAGTTAAGTTTGATACTTTGAGCTAAGACACATTTATATTTTCTCTCCGTCTTAGTGATAACTTTATTAACTTCTTTTTGTTTATCTCTACAAGTCTTATAGTCCTTCATTTTAGAACATCCTGAAAAGACTTAATGACTAGAAGCTGAATACTCTCATTAACTATAACCTGTATAGCTTCAGTGATTAGGAATTTAATAATCTTATTAACAATGACCTGAACAGGCTCAGTAGTTATGGCCTGAAGAGCTTCAATGATTAAAAACTGAATAGTCTCCATGATTACAAAATGAAGTCTTAATGATTAGGTCAGGACATAATGAAATAAGTTTCAATATTGAGAAGTGCAAGGTTACGAACTTTGAATATGGAAATTTCGAAAACATTTCTTGTGAGTTACACTGGAATTGTTAAAAAACAAAAGGATTTAGTTGAATATTTAGATATAATGAAAAAACCTACAAGAGACATGAGATATACTTATGAAAAATTTCAAGCTAAGAGTATAGAAGTTACTATAACTTTTGTAGGAGACTCTGATGAGGCCTCAGGTAGATTACATGAAATATATCAAAATGTTGGAAAAAGTACAGCTACAAGTATTATCAGAATGATACCTAATATATGAAGTTAGAACTATTATGAGATGTTTAACAATTTTAACTTGTTTTCTCTGGAATATATACAAATTAAAAGAGATTTGATTCAATTTTCAATTGGCAGGGGCTTGGATAGTATACCCATGACTGACTTATTTCAGTGGTGAAATGAATCAGTTAAAAAAATCCCAAGTTTGTGCTTTTAAAGCCTAGCCCAATTCTAGTTGTTTGCTAAGATTATTTCTCCAGCAATTATTCAAACTTGCTGAATGGTTTACTTAATGATATGGTATTTAATGTGTAAATTATGTTTGAAAGTTTTTCCGATTGATACATAGCTGTGAAGGATGTTAAACTTGGTCTTTCATTTAGATGAAATTGTTTTCTGGCACTTGTCAAAACACTCAATCCAGCTACAGAAAAGCTTAAACCTAAATAATTAAAATCTTTCTCCTCCAAACTTTTCTCAACTTGAGAAGTTGAATTAAAAACATTAATCACTGCATTTGTTAAATTCATCTGTTTCAAAACTTAAATAAAATGTAATTTTCTTTTAACAGATTTACATTGTTAAATATTAAGTCTATTCCATTGGTAAATTTCTAACCATTATGATGCATAGAACTACTTAACAGTATTACTAGTAAAAACTACCTAAAATTATCAAATTGTTTTTTAATAATATATAATTCACTTTACAGTATTTTAATTTTATTTACATCTTATAATGTTATGCTCAGAAGTTACTAACACAAGAAATACAATTTTTAGGCATTTATACAGTAATATTAAATTGACAAATAGCGATTCTTGTTTGTCAGTTTAATATTACTATTAGCATTAGCACAATGTACTTCCAATGAAAGCAGATGGAAGTTCCATACGCAAACGTTTATACAGTATTCCCTCAAAATATCACTTCCATTGAGTCCCAGTGCTGAAGCCACTGACACTAACCCACCTGTTTAAAATTCTACCGAAGTTGAACACCCAGCTACGTACATATTTACTGATTTAGTAAAGGTATGATGACATTTTATAAGGACAAAAAAGAAAGATACAGATTCCACAATCTCAATCCCTGGTGTTTATGGTATTTAAAAAATACACAATAAAATGTGGTCAAGCAAAAGTGCTTTAAACTTTTAAGTTTACTTTAAACTCAGTGAAGTTCAAGTCCATGTTGTATGGACTTTGTGGTCATTCTTAGAATCATACTCGTAGAGTCATACCCAGTCATGCTCATACTGTCACAGGTAAACCATGATATAGTATTGTTGCAATTGTTTAAATTCGTTATATTTAATCATTAATGTGACAATCGTATCTCATGATGAATAACCTTTTATATTAAAATTTGTCGAAAAATAATGAAAGACGTTTTCTTACCTTGTTCTATGCTCTTTCAAATTGCCTTAGACTGCTAGAATTACATTATATTTTATAAACAAAGACCCTGATTTTAACATGGCACGTTATGATTTCAAACAAAGCCACGTACCCACATTGTTCTCGAACTAAAGTCTACGCTTCTCACAAGCACAAGGGAACAGGCACAGTCACTGACCAAACTTGTTCCTTCTCAAGTGTGAATCGTAAAAAAAATATTATTAATGATAAATAAAGCGATAAGGTAATAATTATTATATAAATGAGATCTTATAATATCCAAACTCCGTGGTTGAGTGTTCACAGTTAGTAATGAGGTCCTGTAATAATAAGTTTGAAATATTTATATGAAGCTTCGATGTTGTAATAATAAATATCATATGGCCAATAACTGTAAAGAAAGCATTTTACTGAAATTGCGTAATATTTCGCTGTGAGAGTGTCTTCTATAATATTTATCATTGTTTCCAATGGCCTTAAAAGTCTTAATGTCTATCCTGAATAGCCATAGTTACTATGATATGAATAACTTCAGCGATTAGAAACTAAATAGTCTTATTGACAATTATTAATAATTATTATCGTTTTCAACAATTATCTTTCCTATGTTCAAGAAATAGTTCACACGATAATATATACTCTCTAGATTCTCTTCATGTATTATAAAAAAGCTTTTTATTTCTAAATGTGGTCAGATGTGACTTATAATGATTAGCGTGTCTCGACAGTGAGTCCGTAGATTCATGGTTCGCGATCTGCAAAAATTGTGCTCCGCACTTTGGGGATTTTGGTGCGCTTTAATACTGACGATCAAATTCCATTTCTATTAGACAATAGTAACCCAAGAGTACGTGGTGGGCGCTGCTGACTAACTTTCTTCCCTTTAGGTTACTTGTTCGAAATTAGGAATGGCTATATACAGATAGCACTCGTGTAGCTTTGCGCGAAATTATAAAACAAACCAATAAATACTTTTAATTTTTATCTACAACAGTATAATTCGATAATACAAAATCTGTTCTGTCTGCTATGCCGTAACATTAACTATGGTAATTTAAAAAGTCTGGAATTTTTTATTTATCTGTTTGTAGTTAAGCAATAAGCTACACAATGGGTTATCTGTGCTGTGCCCATCACGGGTATAGAAACTCAATTTATAGCGTTATAAGTCCGCAGACTTACTGCT